GGGCGCCGGCCGCGGGCACAAACGCGGGTCTGCGGCGCTCGGCCGCGGCGGCTGGCTTTGCTCGCGACAGGCGTGCGTAAAACCAGCATGATTGTCTCCACAGGCATGTCCTCCGTTAAGATCGAGTGCGTTGCCAACGATGGCTACAGGCTCCCGGGGGGGCCCCGCCTGGTCTGGGACGAGAGGGAAAGCACGCTCGTCTACGTGGACATCACGGGCAGAAAGGTGTGCCGCTGGAGCTCGGTCACCAAGCAAGCGCAGGCCGTCTCTGTGGGTAAGGAACAGCTGGAAAAAGGCTCCGCTGAACGCAGGAGTTGGGCGTTGTGCCTTGGTGCTGCATCCCTGCCCAACGCGGGCAGGACTCGAGGAGGTGTAACGGCTGTGTCCCTCAACAGCTGCACAGTGCTCATCTTCTGGAGACCTTTCCCTTAAACCTGACTTTCCTAGGCCCAGGAGGACACTGGGGCTTGTGCTGTGCACAAACACTAGATGTGGCCAGACTTAGTCCTGAGGACTTTTCTTAGGTTTAGGGTTTTCTTATGATTTTGTGCTATTGGGTTATGTTTGATCTACTGCTCTTTCCTGTAAGTTGTTCACAATTTGTTCGGTCATTGTCCCAGAAGTAAAGTTCTGCTGTTGATATCTGTGGGAGTTTCGTTACTGAGTTGAATGAACAATGCCCGTAACACTTTCTTTATTGGAAGAAAATTTCCCATACTGATTTAAGAAGATTTTTTTTTAAGGTAACAGTGTCACCAGCTAGAGTGCCAATAGTTAAGTGTTTATTTCAGAAAGAAAGAAAATGTACTAACTCTCATAAAGAAAGAGTTGCAGATTTACTTCTGGATATGATAATGTAAATGTTTGTCTATCTGAAGACAGCTCCTGAAGTGGTTGAAGTACTCATGTTTATTACTTTCTCATGTTCAGTAACAGTGAAAATCACTCACTTTTGCTCACCCATAAGCTGTTCACATGATTCACAATAAATTGATCTGGCCCTATCTGCCCTTCAGATTACTGTAGTTACCAGTTTTAAGATGAGAGGAGGCCTGATACTAATTTTGGAAACATTGCTTCCCAAACGCATGCTTTTCCCTGTCTCCCCAGCAACTTGGACCTACTGTCAAAGGTGTAATCTTTTGCATGTGGCCTCTCTGGAGATGTAGAAGGGATAGTAGCTGAAGTGTTTTTTTTTCTTTTAACTTCCTTCTGCTTCCTCTCTTTAGTAATAAAACGGTTGGAATTAATAACTGTGCCTTTGGGAATACCGTGATTTAAAGGCCAAAATAAGCCCAAACACCCAAAGAGTGCCATGTCATTAAAATAGCGGGTTGATGTCCAAAGTGGAAATCGAGAGAGAAATTACTCGTTACTGAAGCTTACGGAGAATTACAACAACATCACTTTTATCAACAACTTCAAATGCCCTTTCCAACTCCACAGGGGAAAACACCAGTACGCACATAACTGCGCCCAGCAGGGAGACCTTATGGTCGGCTTTCTGTTTGGTCTAAAATGGTGTTCCAAATAAATCAATTCTTGTGGATGCTGCTTAACAGAGCCTTCTGGGCTGGCTGTGGACTGAGCCGGCTGCCAGGGCTGATACGCTCACTCCTGCCATATTTGTGCAGGGAACAGTAGGGTGGCTGTGTCCGTCTCACCAGCCTGATACACAGCTTTCCTTGTCGGGAAGGCGTGGGGCTATTCTTGTGGCTGTAGGGGCATCCAAGGGGCTGATACCTCCAGGGACAGGCAGGCAGGGGTATACAGGCTGCTGTGTTTGGGGGCTGCTCCCCCCCCAGGGTGGGAGGGAGGCCCTGGGTGCTGCCCATGTGTAAAGGCTCCTGTGGGCCATGGCCCCAGGTGTTTTGCTGGGAGAGCAAATGGAGAGTTGCATTCCCACACTCTGCTGGCGAAGCCCCTGCCACTGGTGTGGGCAAAAAAGTGCTTTTGTTGGTGTGGTTACCGGCAATCAGGAGAGCAGCGAAATGACTTCCTTTGGTGGGTGCCACGCACAGCTGAGGGGACTCTGCCAAGCTGTCCGTGCTGGCACGGGAAAAAGTGGCACCTGGTGGCTAAGCATATATGAGCCCAGACCACCAGCAGCCTCAGCAGCGTGGTCACACGTCTCTAGGTGAAGGAGTTGCTCGAGTTGAGCTTGCAATCGGATGTGCATCTGGAGTGTTGGGGCCAAATAGCATTTGTATTTCTAGCACGGTGGTACCACTGCTGGGGCTGCAAAGGGAAGGAGTGCCCTGACCCAAGTGCAAGCAGGCAGAAAGGAGCAGCTCCTTTTGGCAACAGTAGTGGCTGGTGACGATTAAAAGTGTTTGTGAAACTATTACCTAATTATACTTTTGCAAAGCTATAAATACAAGAAATGTTTTATTTTTTAATTAGAAAGTTGATGTTTAGTCCCGTGTATATTCCTGAGTCTTGTCTGTTAAATACTATCCCGGATTTTGTTACCCTGTTTAAAGCTACTATTCCTGATACTGTGCCTGGCTTTTACAGAAGTGTTACCTTCACAGTTGTTTCTCTATTTTTTTTTTCTAATTCCTTTATAATAACCTGCGGTTGAGGTTTTGCAGCATCATAGCTCAAATGAGTGTAAACTTACCATGGAGCGTTTACTAATTTTATGCTTTGCTTCAACTTTTGGAAAGCTCTGCCTCTCCTTGATGTGATTTTGGTGCTGCTGGAGGCATTTCTGAACTGCACGGCAGGGTGTGGTGCAGAGTGCGGCTCTCCTGCCCAGCGCAACCTGTCCCAGTGCAGAGAAGCTCTCTGTCTCTGTGAGTTGCCCCTGAATGGCCGTGCAGAGCTGATTTACCCAGGAGCTGTGCTAAGCACACACAGTTGCTCCAGAGCTCTCATGACAATAAGTTTTTCCTCTGGGAGGGGGGATCTCACACAGTAACCTGTTGTGAAAAGTGTACGTGCCTGTATCTGTCCTCCTTTTTATGGTTTTTTAAAGCACCTCACAGAACGAAGTGCTGGTAATGATTATCACTCTGGGGAGCAGTGGTAACCATCAAGTTCCCTGAGTTTATATGTCCCAAACATGTGATTCTTTTCGTAGCTACTTTCTGTGTTCATTAAGTATGTCCTTTTTGCATCAAAGGACCTATTTCTGTGTATTTAAAAGTCAGTTTTGTTGGTAGAAAATAAGTTGTTTCTCTTGCCTGTGGTCTCACTGAGTTTGGCGTGACTGCCTGCATGTCTAAAGTGGGTAGAAAAGAAACTTCTCTTCATAGCACATTCCTCTTTTCCATTTCACCCTGTCTCTAGATGCTCCCGTCAGCTCCGTGGCTCTCCGGAAGTCTGGGGATTACGTCATCACCCTGGGAGCCAGGTTTGCTACTTTGAAATGGAAAGAGCAGCTAGTAACCACCATTGCTCACGTGGACAAGGACAAACCGAACAACCGATTCAATGATGGGAAAGTAGATCCTGCAGGGAGGTATTTCGCAGGTATGCTGTGGCTGGTTCCTTTCTTCTGCTGCTCCGTTAGGTTTTGGTGGCAAGATGCAGCGATCCGTTGCAGATCGTTGTTGCAGCCAGTGTTCATTCACAGTTAAATAGCGGCGATTTTTTTGTTGTTGTCGTTGTCTTCAGGCAGAGTCCGATCCCATTTACAAGTCTGTTTGTATCACCTGGACACCATCTTATCTGCATCTTGTCTGCTTTTATCTCTTAAAAAGAGGGCCACTATTCAGAGCCTGCCGAGTTTAAGACGCTGCCCTTGCCGCCTCCCTGTTGGCATGCTTGTTTTGAATACTGGCAGAGTGCCAATAGAATATATTTTTCCAGCAAGAAATTTATGATTTCGTGGGTTTCGTTCTTCATAAATCAGAATTTATTGATGGTATTTCTAAAAACTATGTGACTGTTCAGCCTGGAGAAGAGAAGTCTCAGGGGGATCTTATCCATGTGTGTAATAAGTACCTGAGGGGGGGAGGGCAAAGAAGAGAGAGCCAGGCTCTGCTCCATGGTGCCCAGTGGCAGGACCAGAGGTAATGGGCACAAACTGAAGTTCAGGAAACCTAGTTTAAACGTAAGAAGACTCTTTTACTGAGGATGATCAAACAGTGGAACAAGTTGTCCAGAGAGGTTGTGGAGTCTCCATCTGTGGAGATACTCAAGACATAACACTGCCCTGGGCAGCCTGCAGTGGCTGACCCTGACTTGAGCAGGTGGTGGGCCTGGATGATCTCCAGAGATGCCCTCCAGCCTCAGCTGTCCTGTGATCCTGTCCTCCTGGATTTTAAAACACCATTCTGTGCATCTGCCCTGTAGCTGGGTTCCCAAGCTTACCTTAACTTGCTTTTACCCAGCCTCTCAAGAGCCAGTCTCAGCTGCCAACGTCAAGCCACAAAGTTGAGATTTGTTTTTGAAGAGGCTTTAGTAAGACTCGTTCTAAGGGAGGAGGAAATTTTTTTCCAGCCTCTCTTCTATATGAGACGTTAGAATTCGTGGGAAGTTAAATGCTGATGACACCTTTCTTAATATTTGAATGACTGAATAAAACATTTTGCAGAAATGACGCTGCACACCATTTCTGCCACAGTCTGACAAAAATCCAAAGGCTGTGTTTTATCGTCATCTGCTAAAAGCAAGCACTTTTGAAATCTACCTTTCTGTTTTGCTTTTAACTGAGTTTCTTCCCCAAATTTCTGAAGCCCCCACACTGCTCCATTCTATGTTGACAGTGTGATGATCATCATAGGGATGGGCTGCCACCAAACCTAGAGGAGAGCCTGTTCGCTCTGAAACCACCTTCTCCCCTTTGGCTCTGCACAGGTACGATGGCTGAGGAGATTCGACCTGCCGTGCTGGAAAGACACCAGGGCTCTCTGTATACGCTCTTCTCCGACCTCTCAGTGGTGAAGCACTTTGATCAGGTGGACATTTCTAATGGGCTGGACTGGTCGCTGGATCACAAAACCTTCTTTTACATTGACAGTTTGTCCTACTCGGTGGATGCTTTTGATTATGACCTCCAAACTGGAAAAATTGGTATAAATTGTTGTATTCTAAACTAATAATTTGTGGCTAAAGATTGTGATGTTTGTTTTCGTTCTGGTTATTGTGCAGAGATGATCAGAGGTTTGGGAGCACTTCTTCAGAAACCTCTTCAGAACAAAACAACAGAAGCCGTATTAACATTCATCTGCACCTGCATAGACTCCTAGCTCGAACTAGTCAGGGGCTCTTTGTAGTATTATAAAGTATTTAAATTGTGTGGCAGAGTAGTAATCTGGACTATTGTTACTAAACACAACACATATCTAATTTCTCTGTGTAAAAAGGACAGAGTGTTTCTTATAGGGCTAGATTTCTGTGGCTCCGTTTCTTGTTCCTGACAGCATAGGCAAAGTAACAGAAAAGCTTGGAGTCTTGCACAAAACCTCTGCTAGCTTCTCTAGATTTGTCACCGTTTAGTTTTCTAAAATAGAACCTCTTAGATGAAGATTCTGCAGACAGAATTAAACAACAACTGGAAAGCAGTAGCTCAAAACTCTTCTTCCTTCATTTATTTAAACCAAAACAAAACGAAACAACCCCTTAAGGGCTTCCACAAGCTTGGGCAAAAGAAAAATTCCAGTTACTTGGACTAATATTTTGCTTTTGAGTACATGGACTGCAGTATTTTGCTTTAAAAGAACCCAGTCGATTGGTATTTAGTTTTAAAACGATGAATATAAAGTCTTTTTAAGTGTAGCATCATGTCCTGCTATGTCTCTGCTATGGCTTGCAATTGAATTTTTCTTTAGGAAATAGAGTGGTTCTTCTTTCGTTCTCACCCGTGCCTGCTTGCTCGTTCTGTGGGCAATCTGACAATCCCCAGGAGCACAAAGGAAACTCATTAAAAATATTGCTACATACGAGAAACATTGAAGTTGTCAGAGCATAAAATAAACAATGTTGGAAAGTTGGTTTTAATTTTCTTTAATAACAGTGGATAAAAGTTCAGATAGAGTTGTTTGTTTTTAGGTTGACAGTATGCCTTTGAAGTTGATGCTTTTCCAAACTCTGTGTTTATATAAACTCTGAGTTTATATATCTGAAGGTCAGTTTTGTGTTGAAACAGTGATTATTGGCACGTTCCAGCAATCTGTTTGAAAAGTCTCCAGTTCTCTGACTGGAAGCGACCCATACATGAAACGATCCAAAGTGCTTTTAGAACAACTAATTAACTTTCTGAATACATATAACATTAATTTATTCAGTTATTCATTTAATATTGTAAGTAGGGAGCATAAGTGGTGCACTAGAAAAGGACACCAGAAAAAAGGCTTATACTTTCAATGGATAGAAATTGATCCACAGGCTTTCCCGCTGAGAAACAACTGACTTGGGAAACAAACATGACAGCAGACACGATCTATTTCTTTCATATGAAAAAAAATCAGAACCTCAGCACAACTGTTGAAAATAATAGTACAAATAACTCTGCTAGGCTGTGACGGATAAAAATTTTAACAACTGTGTCACGCAGTTTTGTTGGTTTTTACCCTGCAGGCAACCGTAGGAGTATATACAAACTGGAAAAAGAGGAGAATATTCCTGATGGGATGTGCATTGATACAGAAGGCAAACTCTGGGTAGCTTGTTACAATGGTGGGAGAGTAATTCGTCTTGACCCTGAGACAGGTAAGTTCTTGCAAAGGGTGACTGGAATTCTGTGTTTAAAAAAAAAAAAGGAAGAAACAGGAGCAAAGAATGAGAGGTGGGTTTTTTTCCCCCTCACAGAAATAGTATATCTGTTCTTTTTAAAATGCTACTTTTTTTTTTTTTTAAACAGTTACGTGTCCCTGCTCTCAAAAGTTAGCTTTGTAAATAAGTCTTCTTTGTTCCCAGTCTCTGTTGTGTTGGAAAAGGTGAAGTTGCTGAGGAGATTACCATCATACTTGTAAATTGTTTGAGTTAGCATCCTCTTGCATCCTCCAAACTTAAGATTAGTGTTTACCTCATTGATAAATGATGTGGAAGAAAATGAATACGCCGTGAAACAGCAAAGATGACTTAAGCCTTTGTCTTGTTTCTTCAGCACAGTGTATTATTTTGGCCAGCCTACTGAGGTTACTACAAGTCCCACATGACACTGATGCCAGCAACACTTTTTTTATTGTTGAAAATTATTTACATGATAAATTCTGCAATTGAAATAATAAAAAATATTTAATAGATTCCACAGCATTTTATCATTCCCACAGTAACGTCTTGGGTGTGCCCATTGTCTTAGCCTGTTGTTTGTTTTTGCTGTCATTTGGACTTTGGTCGTCTGCCAGGCATGATTTGGTCTGGGTAAAAAACACTTCAGGGAGACTGAACCACACTGTCTGCAAGGGGCCAGTGGGTGAGAATGAGAGTGTGAATTTGACAGATCCCAGACAGTAGAGGTTTGCAGCATAGGAGCAACTGCACTGGGTTTCATCTGGGGTCTCTTGAACCCACTTCTTTAACAGAAGTCTTGGGGTTTTGTGGGGCTGCAGATTCAGGGATGCCAGCATCCCTTGACGCGTGCCTCCTTCGCAGTGCACAGCAGGCCCTGGCACACAGGTGCACCTTCTGACTCCACTGGAACCTCTTACTTGAGGTGTGGACTGTGCTTTTCCCCTCACCTTTTGATGCGTACCTATCCAAGATGTTGCCAACCTGCGGGACTTCCTCCTGTCCTGCAGAGTCTGCACCCCAACCCTTGGAGGACCAAAACTCCAGCTGGGACATCCCAGCAGCTCTGGGACCTGTTTCTGTTCCCACATCCTCCCCTTTTGGTGGGCAGAGTACTCCTTGGTGAGCTCTGCCAGCCCTTTGAATACCCTCCTGGAGCAGTGGACTCTACCATTTTTCCTCTCAGGTTCACTGTTTCTATCTTTTTCCTCCTTGGTCTTCACCTTCTTCCTTTTTTCTCTTGTTTTCCCTTTCCTCCTCCCTTTTGGAGGTGTTTTCTTAAGGGAAAACTAATGGGAATAGCATCCGTAAGCAAGTGGATAGGGAGAGTGTAAGAACAGGGAGAGAGGGTACGTATCCCAAGTGCATTCCCAGCTTTCAACTATGCTCAGCTCAAAGTCTTTCAGAGCTGGATGTGATTTCAATGTATCGGTAACTGCCAGTGGATTTTCAAGTTTCTGTGAACTTGTTCTGTCTCCCCTCACCCTTTAAAACTTCCAGCACCCACAGCAAACAATAGCAGGAAGTTTCACAGGTTAACTGTGCATGTCAAGAAGAGCCGCCTTTGTGAATCTCTCATGCTTGTCTGCCCTCTCTGCACTATCATTTTAAAGTAGTATCTAAAATGTGTTAGTTTGCTGAATTCTGAGTGAATCGTAACTATTTAGGGAGATAATCCAGACAGGTTTGAGGAGAACTCCAGGAAAGACTCTCTTTTAATGCACAATAGCTACTAAGTGTGGCTTGAATGACTGTCAGCCAGTTGCAGATACATCTGCTGATAAAGGAGCTCATCTAAAGCACATGAGGGATTTTCAGATTTCACCGATAGCAAAGCTTGGGTTACGTTTTTTGGAGAATGGATGAAGAAACATGTCTGGTATGTTTTCTAAGTGAAGGTTTTGAGGTTTAGAGTGAAGTGGCTTTTTAGGTTTAGGCTTCTTTAGCTTAGGTAGCTGTTGCCTGCTGCTGGCTTCACATTCAGGATGTGCTACAGGGAAGGGCTGTGATCTCTTATCCCACTGGGTTTGCAAAGGGCTCGAAAGGGATGTCTAACTTATATGTTGCCAAGTCTTGTCTTGCCTTCTGGTCACTTAGTGACCTGCTAGTTTTATGCAACCGTGTTCTTTAATTAGGATTTAAATATTTTACAGTTCTTCTTAGTGAGCATATTTTATATCCTTTGATTGTACAGGGTCTAAAAGACCTGCTAGGTTTCTCTCTTCTGCCGATACCAAACATAGATGAATATTTCAGGTGGATTTCAAAGCATCCAGATTTTCTTACATCTCCAGGAAGACATTGCTCATCTTAGAGCTTTGTAAATAGTATCTTCCAGGCTGTTATCTGCTGAGACTGCTCTACAAGTACAGTGAGAGTCTCTTGCCTTGTCTCTGGAGCTCGTGCCTCTTCTCCTACAGTGCGTATTTTTTCCCTTTGAACGGCCTTCCCACTCATTTTCTCGCAGACTTGGTGTCAGCCAATTTCTGGGGTGGCCTCTGGAGCATTTTATAAGCCGCCATGTAATCCTGCCACTGCCAGCTGACTGGATAACCACAAAGTGCTGCTAGAGCCAGTTCACAGGGGCGTTGTCTTGGGACTCAATATTGGTCCTTGTCACTCGCAGGCAACAGACAGGAATTCTTCTCCCCCAGTTTTCTACATATTTTGAAAAATCTGCTCGTCTCAGGAAAGTAACAGATAACCAGATGTGCAAATAATCTCTGACAATCTAAATGCCATTACACTGATTTTGATTTTTTTTTTTCCCACTTTAATTTTGATTTTTACCTTGCCCATTGTGAGTCAAAGTGTGCGTCAAATAAGCTGCTTATACAGCTAGAGAAATCCCAGAGTGCTGAAACTTCTTGGCTATTGCATGCAAGAGTCGCTTTCACTACTACTCACTTGTTTTTCTGTCATTTATTTTGGGATTAAAAGACAGTTTAAAAGTATCCAGCCTTCCTGTCAGGGTTTTTGGTGAAACAAAGTGTCCTGGTTTCGGCTGGGACACAGTTTTTCTTTTTAGCAGCTAGAAGAGCTCTGTGTTTTGGATTTAGTACGGGATTTGTTATGAGAAGAATGGTAGCACACTGATCTTTGTAGCTGATACTGAGACGTCAAGGACCTTTCCGCTTGCCATGTTCTTGCCAGTGTGCAGGAGCACGGCAGGCTGGGGGGGGAGCATGGCCGGGACAACGGACCCACAACTCCCCTTGTGATTTGAACTTAGACTTTGGATTGAGGGCCAGACTGGCCAATTGAGTATTCCATACCATTCAACATCATGCCCAGTATATAGATGAGGATTGACCGGGAGGAAGCCCTGTTTCTCTTCTGAAGGCTGTCTTGGACTCTCAGAGTTCTCTCTCTCTCTCTCTTACTCCTTTTTCGGGCGTCTCACTTGTCTGGGATTGTGATGTCGGGACTTATCTGTTTCAGGATCATTTGCTGGGATGGGAAGGGAGTTTGTCACCGAGTGGCGAGCAATTACACTGTGCATCA